ATTGTACAGGAGGATTAAACAACGAAGCATTTCTCAAATGAGAAGGAATGCTAGTGTTCGGAGGGTCATTACGTACAATAGGATTGGTCAAAAAATACTTTTTAAGAGTTAATTTTCTGACATATTTCCTAATATCGATGTAAGTTTGAAATTTACTAAGAGATGCTGTGGGTGCATATTTTAGGCCTTTACCAAGAAGGTTGAGTTCATCTGGTGATAATTCCGTATTGCTGAGATTAAAAATGCCCAATTCATTTACATCTTTCTTTTTTTGGGATTTATTGACCCTCTGGCCTCCTCTTTTTTCCTCTCCGTGGGCGCTCCTTTTTTGTGCCCGTCCTGGGCCTAAAAAAGGCTGCTGTGTCTGTTTACCCTCATTATGTTGGTTACCGGAATGGGAGGGGCCAGTTTGTGGGGTCCTAGGTTGCTCATAATAAGGTCTGTAACCAGGTTTTTTGAAATTACGACCATTTTTTCTTTTATTCCTTGGGATGTAAGGTTTATAATGATGTTGGTAATAGTTATCATTATTATCGCCATTGTAATAGTATGGTCTTGGATGATAATTATCCCTTTGTTGTTGCCAATTAGGGTGTAAGCAATAATTGGCACCCTAATTGGCAACAACAAAGGGATAATTATCATCCAAGACCATACTATTACAATGGCGATAATAATGATAACTATTACCAACATCATTATAAACCTTACATCCCAAGGAATAAAAGAAAAAATGGTCGTAATTTCAAAAAACCTGGTTACAGACCTTATTATGAGCAACCTAGGACCCCACAAACTGGCCCCTCCCATTCCGGTAACCAACATAATGAGGGTAAACAGACACAGCAGCCTTTTTTAGGCCCAGGACGGGCACAAAAAAGGAGCGCCCACGGAGAGGAAAAAGAGGAGGCCAGAGGGTCAATAAATCCCAAAAAAAGAAAGATGTAAATGAATTGGGCATTTTTAATCTCAGCAATACGGAATTATCACCAGATGAACTCAACCTTCTTGGTAAAGGCCTAAAATATGCACCCACAGCATCTCTTAGTAAATTTCAAACTTACATCGATATTAGGAAATATGTCAGAAAATTAACTCTTAAAAAGTATTTTTTGACCAATCCTATTGTACGTAATGACCCTCCGAACACTAGCATTCCTTCTCATTTGAAAAATGCTTCGTTGTTTAATCCTCCTGTACAATCATTGACTTATATCAATGCTTTCCGTGACACTGTCTTAAAGGACCTTGGCACACTGGAAGTAAAGAAAGCGAGAACCAATGTAGCCTGTAAGAAAGCCATGGACACTCTGTTGGAAAATAAAGATCTGGTGATTAGACCAGCAGATAAGGGGGGAGGTGTCGTGGTCTTATCCAAAACTGATTATATTAATGAGGTTAACAATATTTTAAGTGATAATGATACCTATTCTCTTTTGTCTAAAAACCCACTTTATTCATATAAAAAATCATTAAAAACTATTTTAAATAAAGGTTATGATAATAAGGTCATAAACAAAAAAGAGAAAGATTTTTTATGTCCCTCTGCACCGAAGTTACCCATACTCTACATTTTACCTAAAATACACAAGAGTATGACTAATCCTCCGGGAAGACCGATCATCAGTGGCATCGGTTCATTGGGTTCTAGAGCGGGTGAATACATCGATCATTTTTTACAACCTCTAGTCACTGGCACCCCCTCGTATTTACGCGACACAAAACAGGTTTTACAGGATATTAATAACATCAGCATTAAATGTGATACTTTTTTAGTGACTGCTGACGTTACATCATTGTACACTAATATTGACCATTTAGATGGTATGGAAGCAGTGAAGTTCTATCTTGATGATTTTAATGGGATGTCGAGTTCACAGAAAGATTTTATTCTGGAGTTGTTGCAATTCACAATGACCAAGAACTACTTTTGGTTTAATAACCAGTTTTATTTACAGACTAAGGGGGTTGCAATGGGAGCGAAGTTTGCTCCCAGCCTGGCCAATCTCTTCATGTCTAGGTGGGAGGAAGACATGATATATGGAAGAGATTGGCCAGAGCTTTTGTTTTATAGACGATATATCGACGATATATTTTTAATTTGGAACGGTGAGGAACAAGCGTTATTGAACTTTTTTAACACTTTGAATTTTAATTCACTTAACATTAAGCTCACATTTGAGTATAGCACAACTAGCATCCATTTTTTAGATTTAACCTTGGTTAATTATGAAGGGAGGATTGTCACTGAAACCTTTTTCAAGGTTACTGACAGAAATAGCTACATCCCCCTCGACAGTTGCCACCACCCTATGTGGTTGAGCAACATACCCAAAAGTCAGTTCCTGAGGATCAGGAGAAATTGCACTGATCAAAATACTTTTCTCCATCAAGCTTCTATCCTCAAGGAACGTTTTTTGGAAAAGGGTTATGATGGGAACAAACTGGATAACACTATCAAGGAGGTTACTCATTTAGAGAGAGACTCTATTCTATATGGGACTAATAAGCAGAAACAACAGAAAGTATGCCCATTTATAACTGGCTTTTCCATTCAACATAAGGCTGTCTCCAAAATAATTAAGGCTAACTGGAAAATATTAAAAGCCGACCCTGTTTTAGCAGATTTTCTGCCTGATAAGCCTGAAATAACATTTAGAAAGGCACCAACACTGCGAGACAAGTTAGCCCCTAACGTGGTTAATCCCCCCACTAGTTTTTCCTTCTTCTCGGAGCTTAAAGGATTCTTTCCATGTAACAAATGTATCATCTGTAGGTGTAACGGAATTAGAAAAAGGAGCACCAGCACTTTTAATTCAGCAGTTACAGGAAGACATTATAATATTGATGGTTTCATCACATGCAATAGTAGATTTGTGGTCTACTTATTACAGTGCCCGTGTAATAAACAATATATCGGGAGAACTACGAGGAAATTAAAGGATCGTTTGAGAGAGCATGTCAGCAATGTTAAGAGGGGGAATAAGGAACATTCCTTGTCTAAACATTTTCGTTTATTCCACAATAATGACCCCACTTTATTGACTTTTGCTGGTATAGATATTGTTACAACTCATTGGAGGGGAACTAATAGAAAGAGAACAGTCTCACAAAAAGAATCAAAGTGGATTTATGAATTGGACACTTTTTATCCCAAAGGACATAATGTTGAGTTTGATATCAACAGTTTTATCGATAACAGCTGACTTTGGTTGATTATTTGTATGTGCTATTAATTGACAGTTTTTTACACATCTTTTTACATTACTATTTGGTGGGCTTGTTATTTTATACTGTTATTTGTGTGATTGCACATAATTACGCTTATTACCTCTACATTTTTATTAAGTATTTTTCCATTTATGGTTAATCTGCAGATACAATGCAATCTTGTGTCTGCTTTGATTTTTCAATAACATATTTTTAATAACATTTATAAATCATATATATTATTATACATTACGTGTATATCATGTTGTGGTTCTTGGTCATTGCGGATATATGCCTAATCATGCTTATATGGATACCATTTATTTTTATGTATTTTTAATCTTGTTTTTATTTGTATTATTTCTGTAATTGGTGTAATTGCATTTATTGTATATTTATACTGGAGACATATTAATTTATTAACTTAATGTTTTAATGAACTATGGTATGTGGATGTGCATCTATATACATGTGATTATAACATTCAGTTAGGTGTTCTCATTGTATATTTCTTTGTGTGTTGTTTCCAGCCCTGTATATATTGACAAACAGCCGTTCATTGCCGATAATATATTCACTGCACAGCTGTGTTTGTCTCTGGCATCGTAGTTGATGGTAATGCAGACCACAACAAAATGGCGCTGGACTAAGTTGCGGACATCATAGCGATGTCTGCTTCGCGCATGCGCGGGGACGCCGGCAAAATGGCGGACGCGCTTATACGATCGCCAGATACTATAAATACAGGGTTTGGAGTAGATGTCTGGTTAGCTGACACACTCCCTATGAATATGTGCACATGGCACGAAACGCGTCAGGGTAAGAGCAGCATATCCCAGACATTTACCACCGTATGGAGCGGTGGTGATTTTTATGCTAATTAATGCAAATTTATGGTCAGTCTATTTATGCAGTTCTTGTCTATCTTTTGGATCAATAAATCTTTTTTAAAACGGTATCACACCATCCTGGCTTTTTTCTTGGGACCCTGCTGAGTCCAAAAACTTGCAGAGTCTCTTAGGGGACAGCTGAGGGGTGTCCTAGTGTGGCAACACATGATTTATAAGAGGATCCTTTGGATGGACTGCTGCGCTTAGATGATGACCAAATCCGTTTATGAGACAACTGCGTATGGATATCGGGATACCATCTATATGCATATTTGAATTATGCATCTGGTGAGTGCATGATTCAGTCATTCTGATCACCGGAAGACACTCGCTTTGCCAGTCACCATTTATGATGTTTAAAGGACTATCACCATTCTTATGCACAGTTTTTTGCACTTTGTCACCATTTTATATGCATATGGTTTAATCATATGATGTCTTACTCTAGTTCAGCTTTACACCCCCTAAACCATGTTGGCTTTCCCTTGGCAATCGAAATTGCAAATCTAATTATGAACTTCTGCAAGCAGGGTGAAGCTTTTATGCTTTATCCGTATCACTAAAATAATGACGGAAGTTTTAAAACTTCCTCTTACTACTAAAACATTGTTTTTCCATGCTGCCTGTTATTTGCTTTGGGGTTATTTTGCCTTACTATCTAATCTATCCTGTCAAATACATGGGAAATTTTTCATCATTTCCTGTTTGGCTTTACACCCATCAGATAGATTGACATATAACAGAGAAATTCCTGAAACCACACCACATACAACAATAACAAGTTGACAGAGGTTCTAACCTTTACCTGCTATATCAAAAAATATAAAAAAATTGTGTGGTCAAAGTGGTTCTAAGTTCTGGGTCATGACTTACAGGATTTCTCATTGTCTTCATTAACAGGTAATTCCCTTTCTGCAATATTAGATGGGAATGCAAGACTTACATTCCTGACCCGCGAAGAAGATTACATCATCACCATGCCCTACGCTCACTGCAAAGGTACTGCTTACATCTGCTCCAGGTGACTCACATATTGAGATACATACAGCGCATCCAGAAAGTATTCCCAGCACTTAACTTTTGCCACCTTTTGTTATGTTACAGCCTTATTCCAAAATGGATTAAATTCATTTTTTTCCTCAACATTCTACAAACAATACCCCATAATAACAATGTGAAAGAAGTTTGTTTTACATAAGTATTCACAGCCTTTGCCATGACACTCAAAATTGAGCTCTGGTGCATCCTGTCCCCACTGATCATCCTTGAGATGTTTCCACAACTTGATTGGAGTCCACCTGTGAGAAATTCAGCTGATTGGACATGATTAGGAAAGGCATAAACCTGTCTATATGAGGTCCCACAGTTACCAGTGCATGTCAGAGCACAAACCAAGCCATGAAGTCCAAGGAATTGTCCATAGACCTCCGAGACAGGATTGTATCAAGGCACAGATTTGGGGAAGGGTACAGAAACATTTCTGCAGCATTGAAGGTCCCAATGAGAACAGTGGCCTCCATCATCTGTAAATGGAAGAAGTTTGGAACCACCAGAAATCTTCCTAGAGCGGGCCGCCCTGCCAACATGAGCGGTCGAGGGAGAAGGGCCTTAGCCAGGGAGGTAACTAAGCACCCGATGGTCACTCTGAAAGAGCTCTAGTTTTTCTCTGTGGAGAGAGGAGAATCTTCCAGAAGAACAACCATCTCTGCAGCACTCCACCAATTAGGCCTGTATGGTAGAGTGGCCAGACGGAAGCCACTCCTCAGTAAAAGGCGAATGGCAGCCCGCCTGGAGTTTGCCAAAAGGCACCTGAGGGACTCTCAGATGAGAAACTAAACTCTCTGCTCTGATGAGACAAAGATTGAACTCTTTGGCCTGAATTCCAAGCGTCATGTCTGGAGCAAACCAAGCACCGCTCACCACCTGGCCAATATCATCCCTACAGTGAAGCATGGTGGTGGCAGCATCATGTTGTGGGGATGTTTTTCAGCGGCAGAAACTGGGAGACTATCAGGATCGAATGAAAGATAAATGCAGCAATGTACAGAGACATCCTTGATGAAAACCTGTTCCAGAGTGCTCTGGACCTTAGACTGGGGCGATGGTTCATTTTTCAACAAGACAACGACCCTAAGTGAATGTCCTGGAGTGACCCAGCCAAAGCCCAGACTTGAACCAGATAGAACATCTCTGGAGAGATCTGCAAATGGCTGTGCACCTATGCTCCCCATGCAACCTGATACAGCCTGAGAGGTACTGCAGAGAAGAATGGGAGAAATTGCCCAAAAATAGGTGTGCCAAGCTTGAAGCATCATACTCAAAACGACTTGAGGTTGTAATTGGTGCTAAAGGGGCTTCAACAAAGTATTGAGCAAAGGCCATGAATACTTATGTACATGTGGTTTTTTTTTCGGTTATTATTTTTAATAAATTGCAAAGATTTCAAAACGAAGTTCTTTCACATTGTCATTATGGGGTATTGTTTGTAGAATGTTGAGGAAAAAAATTAATTTAATCCATTTTGGAATAAGGCTGTAACATAGCAAAATGTGGGAAAAGTTAAGCGCTGGGAATACTTTCTGGATGCACTGTAAGTCTTGGTCTGCTACTTACAAGAAAAGACACCAGAAAGAGAGAGATCTAAGTGCATCATAAACAAATATTTATTGGTAAACACATAAATTGGCAACTCAACTTCAAATATAAGTGCTTGTTATGTGGGCTAAAAAGCTGTCTGTATAGTGGTTGTGGTGCAGCGGGTATCGTCTCAGATGCGACACACCACTGCCAGCCTGGGGGAACTCAAAGCCTGGTAGACCAATCTGGCAGCATGGGAACAGCCTAGTATGAGGTCAGACACCTGGGGGTATCAAAGGGGTGTGGCTATGCATTTCGAGGCTACTCTGCCGATTTCTCACACTGCAAAATATTTGTTTTTGCTTCACTTAAATTGAACCCTATGATGTCTTTTCTTGTTGCTACAGAGGTCCCTTTTATCTCTTGTGAAGCTGTGTTAAGTTACTGGAAGCCAGCTGAATTAGCTTTTGATGTACCTAATATGGGGGGTTTATTGGCTTTCAGTCGGGATTCTAGTGTTGGAGGTGTAACTGTTTATATCTTGCACCATAACGTGATATGTTTTTGTTTGGCCTGCTACTTATATTATACTGTTATTAATTCTCACTACTCCAGGATGTCTAGTCCTCTCATACTGGGGTGTACCAGGTGCTGCCTACTTGGCACCCCCAGTACTATACCATAGCATATGGGGACAGCTGAGCTGAACAAGGACCTTTATGGTAGGATCACCAGGGATTATATTTAAAAAAGGAGCAGATTTAAAAACATTGAAAATGTTTTTTTGAAATAACATTGGCATACTTAAGGTCATGTGGGATATTAGTCATTTGGTTTTCTATATACTTTAACCACTTGCCGCCCAGCCACCGCATATAAACGGTGGCAGGGCGGCACTCGTAGGCAAAAGCACGTTTTAAAACGGCTGCCTTCAAAACAGGTAGGGGGCGCGCGCGAGGGCCCGCCCTACCTGTCCCGCGGGTGTCAACAGCGGGTGTCAGCCAACGGGTCACGGACGGTTTTTACCGGCCGATTTCCCGCGATTGACGGTGATCGCTGACACAGAGCAGGGCTGCATTGTTTACACACAGCCCTGTTCTGTGTCACTTCTCTGACAGCTTGTGAGAAGCTGCAGAGTTTCTCTCCCTCGATCAGCTCCCCCCCCCCCCCCCCCCCCCCCCACCCCCGTCCAGCACACCCCCCCCCCGCCCCCTAGTAAAACACTCCCCTTACACTGCAAATTCTAAAAATGTTAACCCCTTCCTCCCCAGTGACATTAGTACAGTTTCAGTGTTTTTTTTCCACTGATCACTGTATTGGTGTCACTGGGGATGTCAGTGACCCCAAGTCAGTTCAACCCCCAGTGTCAAAATGTCCGTCGCAGTCCCGCAGTCCTGCCATAAGTCGCTGGTCGCCGCCATATGTCGCTGATTGCCGCCAAAAGTCGCTGATCGGCGCCATTATTGGTATAAATAAAAATTAAAAATTCCAGTATCTTTCCCACCATTTGTAAACGCTATAACTTTCACGTAAACCAATTAATTTACACGTATTGGGATTTTTTTTAGCAAAGACATGTCGCAGAATGCATTTTGGCAGAAATTTATGGCTAAATTTGATTATTACATTTTTTTTTACTGGACATGTTTTATAACAAAAAGTCCAAAATATTGTTTTTTTTTTCTCAAAATTGTCAGCATTTTTTTTATATAGCGCAAAAAATAAAAACCGCACAGGCGATCAAATACCACCGAAAGAAAGCTCAATTTGTGGGGAAAAAAAGGATGTAAATTTCAGTTATGTACCATATTGCATGACCGCGCAATTGTCCGTTAAACTAGCGCAGTGCTGTATAGCAGAAAAATGGCGTAAATTGTAGTATTTATACCATAGTTTGTAGACGCTATAACTTCCACACAAAGCAATCAATATACACTTATTGGGATTTTTTTTACCAAAAAACATGGAGCAGAATACATTTTGGCCTAAATTTATAACCAACTTTGAGTTTACTATATATTTTTTATAGCTGAAAGTAAAAAATATTGTTTTTCTTCAAAATTTTTGGCCTTTTTTTGTTTATAGCGTGAAAAATAAAAAGCGCACAGGTGATCAAATACCACCGAAAGAAAGCTCTATTTGTGTGAAAAAAAGGACGTAAATTTCGTTTAGGTGCAGCATTGCATGACCGCGCAATTATCAGTTGAATTAGTGCAGCACCGAGTAGCAAAAAGAGGCCTGGTCATTAAGGGGGGTAAATCCTCAGGAGCTGAAGTGGTTAACAATTGAGTACTGTCCATGATACTTTTTTTATTTGCACTAACATACAATTTTGAGGACAAGCTTGTCCTCAAAATTGTATGTTAGTGCAAATAAAAAAAGTATCACGGACAATACTCAATTGTTTCTGTCGCAAATGCACTAATACGGCTACAATCACCTCAAGCAAAATGGAAGATAATATATACTTTAAAGAAGTCATATAGGGGCTCAGAAGGCAAAACTCAACTTTGAATGGGAGTGTTGAGATGTCCAGTATGTACAACGTCAGAATTCTACAGTATATAGGGATGTACTTCTTGTTTTAAAATGTAGCACTTTCATAAGGTAACCTCTGCTTACAATCATGGCCAAAAATATTGGCACCTCTGCATTTCTGTCACATAATGCACCACTTTTCTCAGAAAATGACTGCAATTACAAATGTTTCTCATGTTTATTTCTTTTGTTTGTATTGGTATGACACAAATAAGTAGAGGAACAAAAAGACAAATCTGACACATTCCAATCCCAAAAATGGACTGGACAAAATGATTGGTACCTTCTCAAAACTGTAAGACATAATTGCATTCCAAGTTTGTGATGCTACTATAATTTATAATTAAACTCACCTGTATCAATTAACAGATCTTAATGTTCCTCTGTCCACTGTGCGCAACATTGTCAAGAAGTTCACAGCCCACTGTAGCTAATCTCCCTGGACATGGGAGAAAGAGAAAAACTTGATCAAAGATTGGAATGAAGGATTATTTGAATGGTGGCTAAAGAACCACAATCAACTTCCAGAGAAATACAAGCTGACCTTCAGGCATAGGGTACAACTGTGTCAGCTCGCACTATATGTCACCATCTGAATGAAAATGTAAGGATGTTAGGGACTAGGTTTGAACCCAGTACCTTAGCTGTGTTGGGATGGGGGGAGGTGTCTCTTCTTTTTAGCCTGCTGGAATTCTGGACAGTTCCCTGAACATATCCTTGGATGATCCTGTCTTGAATCCTGTTTTGTCCTGAACCTTGAACTTATTGCTCCTCCTATTCACTTCCTGATTTAAGCCATGCCTCTGCACTTCCTGTTGCCAGATTTGTGTGCTCCTCACAATAGTTTTACCCGAGCTACCACTGTTACTACTTGGCATTGACCCTGGCTTGTGGCTCGACTACAAAACTCTTCTCCTGCATTGACCTTGGCTTGTGACCTGACTATGAAACTCTTCTTCTGCATCGACCTTGGCTTGTGACCTGACTACGGAACTCTTCTCCTGCATCAACCTTGGCTTGTGGCTCGACTACAAAACTCTTCTCCTGCATTGACCTTGGCTTGTGACCCGACTATGAAACTCTTCTTCTGCATCGACCTTGGCTTGAACTCTTCTTCTGCATTGATCTTGGCTTGTGACCCGGCTATGAAACTCTTCTTCTGCATCGACCTTGGCTTGTGGCCCAACTATGAAACTCTTCTTCTGCATTGACCTTGGCTTGTGACCCAGTTACGAAACTTTTCTCCTGCATTGACCTTGGCTTGTGACCTAGACTACGAAACTCTTTTCCTGCATAAACCTTGGCTAGTGACTCTGACATCAATCATCTGTCTAGTGGTTCAGACAGTTCAATCTCCTCAGAACTGTGAACGGTGCTTAGCCTGATGTTCTCAGCCATTGGTCTCCACTCTCTACAGGTTTAGAGAAACAGAAAAGGAGATCCAGGAAGACCCCACTTCTGACACAGAAACATAAAAAAGCCAGATTGGAGTTTGCCAAAACTTACCTGAGGAAACCAAAATCCTTTTGAGAGAATGTGCTGTGGACAGACAAAACAAAATGACAGCTTTTTGGTAAATCCCATCATTCTACTGTTTTCAGAAAAAGCAATGAGGCCTTTAAAGAAAATAATATGGTCCATACAGTCAAACATGGTGGAGGTTCACTGATGTTTTGGGGTTGCTTTGCTGCTTCAGGCACTGGATGTCTTGACCATGTGCATGGCATTATGAAATCTGAAGACTACCAAAGAATTCTGGGGTGCATTGTGACAGAAAGTTGGGTCTCTGTCAGAGGTCATGGGTCTTACAGCAGGACAATGAACCAAAGCACACATTATAAACCACCCAGAAATGGTTTCAGACAAAATGATGGAGAGTACTGAACTGGCCAAAAATGTTTTTGGGTGTTTTACCAAATATTAAATTGAGGGTGCCAATAATTTTGTCCAGTCCATTTTTTGGGTTTTGCATGGAATGTGTCAGATTTGGCGTTTGTTTCTCCACTTTTTTGTGTCATACCAGTACAAAGAAGAAATAAACATGAGAATGCCGAAACATTTGTAATTGCAGCAATTTTCTGGGTGAATTGGTGCATTATCTGACAGAAATGCAGGGGTGCCAATATTTTTGTCCACGACTGTACATATGTGTTCATCATTTTCTTAAAATCTAATTATAGACTAACCATTAGGGACTTTACTGGAACTCTACATGAAATAAATAGAAGCCATTTAAGATCTTTTGTTCATCTTATTAAAATTCAAATTAAAAATCCCAGACTTTAGAAGCCACCGAGACTTCTACCTCTTACATGTACACATATACTCAGAATTTATGATTAACACTTTTTAGCCTTCAAAAGCTCAAAATCCATCCTGTTAGATTCATTTCTGCAATGCATGCTTTCTTTTATCCTCACTTGATTAAACATGATGAATTTTGAGCTTTTCGAGGCAAAATGATAAATGTAAAGTATATGTGTATATGTAAATTCCTAGTGGATTCAGACACATGGGGTTTAATACGGATTTCATTAAAATGAACAAAACATGAAAAATGTCTTATGTTCTCTCAACCCCCCACCTCACCCCCTCGGTCTCCGCCAGAATCACACACCTACTGAGCGACATATCAACTGGATGGCACTCCACTTCCTTAAACTGAACCTCTCCAAAACCGAGTTTCTTGTCTTCCCCCCAGCCCGGACACACACCCCCCATTGACTTCTCCATCACATCCAACAACGTCACCATCAAACCCGCCCCCCGCAGGCCAGAGTACTTGGTGTCATTCTGGATTCCAACCTATCCTTCCAGCCCCAAGTCCAATCTTTAACAAACTCATGCAGACTCCACCTCCGCAACATCGCCAAAATCCGCACGTTCCTAACCCCAGAAACCACTAAACAGCTCATCCACTCCCTCATCATATCACGACTCGACTACTGCAACTCCCTCCTCACTGGCCTGCCTCGCCGCTGGCTATCCCCGCTTCAGTCCATCCTGAATACGGCTGCCAGACTCATTCACCTTTCCAACCGCTCCATCTCCACCACCCCCCTCTGCCAATCCCTCCACTGGCTTCCGATTGCGCAACGGATCAAATTCAAAATCCTAACACTGACCTACAAAGCTGTCCACCACACTGCCCCGAACTACATCACTGACCTAATATCCAAGTACCAACCCAACACGCACACTCCGCTCCTCACAAGACCTCCTTCTCTCTAGTTCCCTGGTCTCCTCCTCCCACGCCAGCCTCCAGGACTTCTCCAGGGTGTCACCCATCCTCTGGAACTCCCTTGCCCCAACCTATCAGATTATCACCTACTCTCCTCTCCATTAGGCGCACCCTGAAAACCCATCTCTTCAGGGAAGCCTACCCCACCCCCTGCTAACTTGCCAACCTCCTCCACTCTTCCTACCACCCCATCCCCCACAGCTATCTCCTCCTGTGCCACCATCCCCTCCCTCCTCGATTGTAAGCTGGAAAGAGCAGAGCCCTCAATCCCCTCATGTTTTGCATTGTATTGGTATTGTTCTGTCACATGTTCTGTCCCCCCTTTGTAATGTACAGCGCTGAGCGAACTATCGACGCTTTATAAATACTGTATAATAATAAATAATGATGATTTTATGTAGCGTATTGGTAAATTCCTTAATGTTTAATTTATTAATTTGAATGTAAAAACTGGGGGGGGGGGGGGATATTGGTAATGTAACAGATCGGTTTAGGGACCCGTGTCTATATATACTTGGAGATATTCATTGTTTCTTTAGCCTGAATTACATACGTTTGTAAAAATATTAATGTAAAGACCTGTATTCAACACACCACAATTGAAACTAATGGATGGTTTATGGGCCTCAAGAAGGCTGCTGGTGGCTTGTTAAATTCTTAGTGTTCAGACTAATGGTTATAAAAGGAATGTGCATTAAATGTGTATTTGGTCTAGCAGCTTGTATCACTATATTTCTATTAGGTCTCTTGTACGGCACAATGACAATGGAGTTGGGAGGGAAAGTTACAATCGAATGTGAGAAGACAGGGTATGTGACGGAGCTGGAGTTTAAGCTGAAGGTATGTTTTTTTTCAAAACTTTAAAAAAATCTTAGTGTTTTTTTTTTTTTAATTTTTAAGCAGGAAGGTAGTTAACGTTGAGGGTTGTCACAACATTTGGCCAAAAAAGACGGTAAAGATTGATAATCACTTTAATGGTACAGTGTGGGGTCAATCTGGTGATACAAAGTCCAAACACTGTTAAACAATGAATATTGGGTGTATGGAGGAGCTCAGCTATGAGAAAAAGATTAGAGGAAACTGAATTTATTCTCTCTCTTGAGAAGAGGAGATTAATGGGGGGGGTATAATCTACATGTATAATATATAAGGGGGATATGATCACCATGTTAATTACATAAGGGGGGGGGGGGTATGATCTCCATGTACAAAACATCCATGTATAGGGTATATGATCTCCATGTATAAAATATATAAGGGGGGATATGTATCACCATGTATAATACATAAGGGGGGGATATGATCACCATGTATATGATACCATAAATAATAAGGGGGATATGATCACCATGTATAATACATAAGGGGGGGGGGGTATGATCTCCATGTATAATACATAAAGGGGGGGGATATGATCACCATATCATAATGTATAATATATAAGGGGGGATATGATCTCCATGTATATAATATAATGGGGGGATATGATCTCCATGTATAATACATAAGGGGGGGATATGATCTCCATGTATAATACATAAGGGGGGGATATGATCTCCATGTATAATACATAAAGGGGGGGATATGATCTCCATGTATAATACATAAGGGGGGGGGTTGGATCGTATGATCTCCATGTATAATACATAAGGGGGGGGATATGATCTCCATGTATAATACATAAGGGGGGATATGATCTCTCCATGTATAATACATAAGGGGGGATATGATCATCCATGTATAATACATAAGGGGGGATATGATCTCCATGTATAATACATAAGGGGGATATGATATGATCTCACCATGTATAATACATAAGGGGGGGATATGATCTCCATGTATAATACATAAGGGGGGGGGATATGATCTCCTGTATAATACATAAGGGGGGATATGATCTCCATGTATAATACATAAGGGGGGATATGATTTCTCCTCATGTATAGAATACATACATAAGGGGGGGGTTATGATCTCCATGTATAATACATAAGGGGGGATATGATCACCATGTATAATACATAAGGGGGGATATGATCTCCATGTATATTAATACATATGGGGGATATGATCTCCATGTATAATACATAAGGGGGGATATGATCTCCATGTATAATACATAAGGGGGATATGATCTCCATGTATAATACATAAGGGGGGATATGATCTCCATGTATAATACATAAGGGGGGATATGATCTCCATGTATAATACATAAGGGGGGATATGATCTCCATGTTAATACATACATAAGGGGGGGATATGATCTACCATGTATAATACATAAGGGGGGATATGATCACCATGTATAATACATAAGGGGGGGATTATGATCTCCATGTATAATACATAAGGGGGGATATGATCTCCATGTATAATACATAAGGGGGGGATATGATCTCCATGTATAATACATAAGGGGGGATATGATCTCCATGTATAATACATAAGGGGGGGATATGATCTCCATGTATAATACATAAGGGGGGATATGATCTCCATGTATAATACATAAGGGGGATATGATAATCCATGTATAATACATAAGGGGGATATGATCTCCATGTATAATACATAAGGGGGGATATGATCTCCATGTATAATACATAAGGGGGGGGGTATGATCACCATGTATAATACATAAGGGGGGATGTGATCTCCATGTATATGATCTCCATGTATAATACATAAGGGGGGATATGATCTCCATGTATAATACATAAGGGGGGGGATATGATCTCCATGTATAATATACATAAGGGGGGATATGATCTCCATGTATAATACATAAGGGGGGGATATGATCTCCATGTATAATACATAAGGGGGGGATATGATCTCCATGTATAATACATAAGGGGGATATGATCTCCATGTATATGGGGGGGATCTCCATGTATAATACATAAGGGGGGGGATATGATCTCCATGTATAATACATAAGGGGGGGATATGATCTCCATGTATAATACATAAGGGGGGATATGATCTCCATGTATAATACATAAGGGGGATATGATCTCCATGTATAATACATAAGGGGGATATGATCTCCATGTATAATACATAAGGGGGGATATGATCTCCATGTATAATACATAAGGGGGGGGATATGATCTCCATGTATAATACATAAGGGGGGGGGTGATATGATCTCCATGTATCTCCAATAATACATAAGGGGGGGATATGATCTCCATGTATAATACATAAGGGGGGGATATGATCTCCATGTATAATACATAAGGGGGGATATGATCTCCATGTATAATACATAAGGGGGATATGATCTCCATGTATAATACATAAGGGGGGATATGATCTCCATGTATAATACATAAGGGGGGGATATGATCTCCATGTATAATACATAAGGGGGGATATGATCTCCATGTATAATACATAAGGGGGGGATATGATCTCCATGTATAATACATAAGGGGGGATATGATGACTCCATGTATAATACATAAGGGGGGATATGATCTCCATGTATAATACATAAGGGGGGATATGATCTCCATGTATAATACATAAGGGGGATATGATCTCCATGTATAATACATAAGGGGGGATATGATCTCCCATGTATAATACATAAGGGGGGATATGATCTCCATGTATAATACATAAGGGGGGATATGATCTCCATGTATAATACATAAGGGGGGATATGATCTCCATGTATAATACATAAGGGGGGGATATGATCTCCATGTATAATACATAAGGGGGGATATGATCTCCATGTATAATACATAAGGGGGGATATGATCTCCATGTATAATACATAAGGGGGGATATGATGATCTCCATATGTATAATCTCCATACACATAAGGGGGGGATTATGATCTCCATGTATAATACATAAGGGGGGATTTGATCTCCATGTATAATACATAAGGGGGGATATGATCTCCATGTATAATACATAAGGGGGGATATGGGGGGGTATAATAGGGGGGATATGATCTCCATGTATAATACATAAGGGGGGATATGATCTCCATGTATAATACATAAGGGGGGGATATGATCTCCATGTATAATACATAAGGGGGATATGATCTCCATGTATAATACATAAGGGGGGATATGATCTCCATGTATAATACATAAGGGGGGATATGATCTCCATGTATAATACATAAGGGGGGGGATATGATCTCCATGTATAATACATAAGGGGGGATATGTATCTCATAAGGGGAGATATGATCTCCATGTATAATATACAATACATAAGGGGGGGGGATATGATCTCCATGTATAATACATAAGGGGGGGGATATGATCTCCATGTATAATACATAAGGGGGGGATATGATCTCCATGTATAATACATAAGGGGGGGGATGATCACCATGTATAATACATAAGGGGGGATATGATCTCCATGTATAATACATAAGGGGGGATATGATCTCCATGTATAATACATAAGGGGGGATATGATCTCCATGTATAATACATAAAGGGGGATATGATCTCCATGTATAATACATAAGGGGGGGATATGATCTCCATGTATAATACATAAGGGGGGGATATGATCTCCATGTATAATACATAAGGGGGGATATGATCTCCATGTATAATACATAAGGGGGATATGATCTCCATGTATAATACATAAGGGGGGGGATATGATCTCCATGTATAATACATAAGGGGGGGATATGATCTCCATGTATAATACATAAGGGGGGGATATGATCTCCATGTATAATACATAAGGGGGGGATATGATCTCCCATGTATATGATCTCCATGTATAATACATAAGGGGATATGGGGGGGGGGATATGATCTCCATGTATAATACATAAGGGGGGGATATGATCTCCATGTATAATACATAAGGGGGGATATGATCTCCATGTATAATACATAAGAAGGGGGATATGATCTCCATGTATAATACATAAGGGGGATATGATCTCCATGTATAATACATAAGGGGGGATATGATCTCCATGTATAATACATAAGGGGGGATATGATCTCCATGTATAATACATAAGGGGGGATATGATCTCCATGTATAATACATAAGGGGGGGGGGGGGATATGATCCCCATGTATAATACATAAGGGGGGATATGATCTCCATGTATAATACATAAGGGGGGATATGATCTCCATGTATAATACATAAGGGGGGATATGATCTCCATGTATAATACATAAGGGGGGATATGATCTCCATGTATAATACATAAGGGGGGGATATGATCTCCATGTATAATACATAAGGGGGGGATATGATCTCCATGTATAATACATAAGGGGGATATGATCTCCATGTATAATACATAAGGGGGGGATATGATCTCCATGTATAATATACATAAGGGGGGATATGATCTCCATGTATAATACATAAGGGGGGATATGATCTCCATGTATAATACATAAGGGGGGGATATGATCTCCATGTATAATACATAAGGGGGGGATATGATCTCCATGTATAATACATAAGGGGGGGATATGATCTCCATGTATAATACATAAGGGGGGGATATGATCTCCATGTATAATACATAAGGGGGGATATGATCTCCATGTATAATACATAAGGGGGGATATGATCTCCATGTATAAAATACATAAGGGGGGATATGATCTCCATGTATAATACATAAGGGGGGATATGATCTCCATGTATAATACATAAGGGGGGGATATGATCTCCATGTATAATACATAAGGGGGGATATGATCTCCATGTATAATACATAAGGGGGGATATGATCTCCATGTATAATACATAAGGGGGGGATATGATCTCCATGTATAATTACATAAGGGGGGATATGATCTCCATGTATAATACATAAGGGGGGATATGATCTCCATGTATAATACATAAGGGGGGATATGATCTCCATGTATAATACATAAGGGGGGGGGGATATGATATCTGTGTATAATACATAAGGGGGGATATGATCTCCATGTATAATACATAAGGGGGATATGATCTCCATGTATAATACATAAGGAGGATATGATCTCCATATATATACATAAGGGGGGATATGATCTCCATGTATAATACATAAGGGGGGATATGATCTCCATGTATAATACATAAGGGGGGATATGATCTCCATGTATAATACATAGGGGGGGATATGATCACCATGTATATATACAGGCGTACCTCGGTTTACAAACGCCTTGGTTAATGTTAATTTTTGGTTTAAGAAATGAAAATCTATTGAAAATAATGCCACGGTGTACACATTGTTTTTGCAATATGAACGGATTAATTGGTTTTTCAATGCATTTACAATTTTTTTTAATCATGTCCCTGTACAGTATTTATGCCTTTAAAGTGCACTTTATAAAGAGTTTTGAACAGATAGACTTTTTTTTCTACTTTTTTCTGACCTCCGGAACGGATTCATTGGTTTTCAATGCATTCCTATGGGAAACTGCATTTCGGTTTACGAATTTTTCACAATATGAAAAGTCCCGCAGAACGCATTAAATTAGTAAAACCGTACATCATCAGTGGTTCATATAGTGAACTCGGTGTGTAGAGCTATTCACCCTGAGGTCATCACAGAGGACAAGGGGGCGCTCTTTACGTCTGAAGAAAAGAAATTTAATCTCCAAGCACGGAAAGGTTTCTTCACAGTAAGAGCTTTGAAAATGTGGAATAGACTCCCTCAAGAGTTGGTTCTGGCCAGCTCAGTGGATTGCTTTAAAAAAGTCCTGGATTCTTTCTTAGCTACACAGAATATAACTGGATATATAACATTTATAGGTAAAGCTAATCCAGGGAATATCTGATTGCCTCTCTGGGGATCAGGAAGGAATTTTGTTCCCCTGCAGGTGCAAATTGGATCGTGCTTTGTTGGGTTTTTTTGCCTTCCTCTGGATCAACTGTGGGTGTAGGATTATAACTTTTTTTTTTAAAAATGGTTGAACTGCATGGACTTTTGTTTTTGACTTTTGTCAGCCAAACTAACTATGTAACTATGTTACCGACATGTGATGAAAATTTCATGTTAATAGCACCTTTAGAAATATATTTACTGAAAAAAATGGCAAATACTTATTTACCCGTTGTATCTATAGCTGAAAGTCTGCATCCTCCTTATCTTGTGTTTTTTTTTTACCTATAGCCGTTCTTTGGAGGAAGCGACACTTTAAACCAGATCAGCGGAAAGATCAAAGTGGCAGGTGAACTCCTGGCAAACCTTGATGGGCACTGGGTGAGGATTTCATACCTACAGTCAGTAAAATTCAACAAAAACAAGGAAAACTTTTTTACATACAATTTGCCGTGAGCTGGACACTATAGGGGACAACCCCTTTCATTTAGCTGAACAGCTCTGTACCTGTTCTCTTTCCAGGACCGGGAAGTGTACTTAAACGATGTACAGGGCGACAGCAGGGACATTTTCTGGAATCCAACGTCTGACATTAGAAGACAGAGGCTGAAGCGGCACATCGTGCTGTTTGAAGAGCAGACAGAAATGGAGTCAGAGAGGTAAAGAATTTAAAGCAGCTTGGTATTGGTAAAAATACATGTCCAAATGGAGGACCCCCTGTAAAGAAGACCGTCTGAAGTAGTCTAGGGCAGCCTTTCTCGATCTTTTCAACATTGAGGATCCTTGAACTAAACTGTCTCAGGGAACCCCTGCAAAAATGACTATATCTACAACTCATGATCAGGGGCGGACTGACAACTCATGGGGCCCCCGGGCAATAGGGGCTCATGGGGCCCCTGTGTCGTTGCCCACACTCAAAGCACACCCAAAAAAGCCTATAAAAAGGTACCAGAGGCATTTCATGGGGCCCCCTACTGACCCCGGCCCTTGGGCAGTGCTCGAGTGCTCGAATGGTCAGTCTGCCCCTGCTCCTGATACATTAAAGCGGAATTCCACCTGAAAAAAACTGTAGCTGCTGACTTTTGAAATACAGCCACTTACCTGTCCCTCGGTCCAGAGGTGTGCTCACCACGGCTGGTATCACCGGCTGTCTTCTCTCCTCGGCGCCAGCATCTTCAGTGTGGGCACCTGGCTGTGACAGCTTGCGGCTTCACAGCCGGGTACCCACTGCGAATGCGTGGGAAGTGCTGTGCTTTGTGAATGGCCCCGTAGTCTTCTGGGAAGAAGACTATGGGGAGGAAGGGGGAAGAACAACTTCCGCTTCCAATTGCCTAGGCGATCAAGTGGAATTGGGAGCGGGTACCTGTCAAATTTGGGTACCCGCTTCCCAAAGGTGCCAATCCTTAATGGGGAGCAGGAGGCATTTCCCCTTTTGGGTGGAGCTCCGCTTTAACGTGATGGTTATTGGGAAGATTTAGCCCTTTACAGGTAGCTAAAAAGATCAATGGTGTTGGTGGGAACTTATCTGAGAGGCAGAAATTGCTCATTGCTCAGGGAACCCCTAGCAGCGTCTGGAGGAACTCCTGGCTTCCATGGAACCCTGGTGGAGAATCCCTGATCTAGGGAAACCACTGGATGAAGATCCTGCAGAATCTGACACTTCCAGAAGTGTCAACTCCCTGCTCCCCCCCTGCGCTGTGGTTCCTGATGACATCACTACTTTACTACAGGACACAGTGGTAAGTGCAGTGGTGTATTTAGGTTTTGTTCTGCCCTAGGCAACACAAAAGTCGGCGGCCCCCCACAGAGAGAGTATGACATTGACCAAAAACACTCCTGCCTCCCACCCGAGAGAGCCTTCCTCTACCACTGCCCCCCATACACCAGCCACCATCCCCCATGGCGAGAGAGAGAGAAAGACACTCACCTTCACGGCTCCGGACATCCCCGGGAACGAGAGTCGAGCTGTGCATACACTGTCATGAAACCCACATCCTCTCTTGGAACCCACCAGGTCCCCATGCCACGTGTGTCCCTTCTTCTGAGGGGCAGTGCTGCCCCCCTGAAAAATGCCGCCCTAGGCAAATGCCTTGTTTGCCTTGTGGTAAATACACCCCTGGGTAAGTGGGGTGAGAGCAGAATGTATGCATTCTGAGAAGCATTCGATTCTTCAAGATCTTTAGTCAGCGGTTTGCTGGCAGTGCAAGAGAGGGGAATATCCCATTTCTTCTTTACAGGGGGTCTTGTAATAAAATCTCCTCCCAATGTTAACAGTTTCATATGAAAAATATCTCTCTAACCAACCACAACATTCTCAGCCACCACCTCCATTATATTCTTCTCTTCATCATAGCAATGTTATTCCCCATACGGGGTTTGATTTACTAAAACTGAAGAGTGCAAAATCTGGTGCAACTCTGCCTAGAAACCAATCAGCTTCCAGGATTTTTTGACAAAGCTTAATTGAACAAGCTGAAGTTAGAAGCTGATTGGCTGCCATGCACAGCTGCACCAGATTTTGCACTCTCCAGTTTTAGTGAATCAACCCCACAGTGTTGTGCAGTTTGTGATCACCAGTGATTACACTAGTGTAGCGTTAAAGTGGTTGCAAACCTCAGACATGAAATATGAACAAAGCATATCCCTCTATGGTGTGTACTTGTCTCAAATTTAAGGCAACGTGGCACAAATGCAGCAAAAAGTGCAAATGCTTTTTTTTATTTTTTTTTTTTATACAGAGCAGTGTGAAAGTAGCTTAAAGTGGAGCTCCACTCAAAAGGGGAACTTCCGCTTTAATGCTTTTTCCCCCATTCCCTGTTAAGGATTGGCATCTTGGGGGAGCGGGTACCCGAATTTGACAGGTACCCACTCCCACTTCCGGTGCAATCACCTAGGTGATCGGAAACGGAAGTTGTTCTCTCCCCCCCTCCCTCCCCCCCTCCCCGTAGTCTTCTTGGACATGTGACAGGTTCCAGAAGACTACGGGGCCATTCACAAAGAGCAGCGCTACTTGCGCATGCGCAATGGATACCCGGCTCTGAAGCCGCAAGCTGGGGGGTGCCCACACTAAGGATGTTGGCGCCGAGGAGAGAAGACGGCCGGTGAAACCAGCTGTGGTGAGGACACCACTGGAGTGAGGGACAGGTAAGTGTCTGAATTTTAAAAGTCAGCAGCTACAGTTTTTGTAGCTGCTGACTTTTATTTATTTGTATTCAACTGGAACTCCGCTTTAAGTGTCATTTCTGTCTGCTGCTTTGTTCTTCCCACTATCAGCACCAATCACTTCTGACAAGCTTTCCTGACACCAAGAGAAAAATGACGACAGGGGAGAGATCTCTAACAGATTGACAGCCTCAGCTCTGTTCCTGTGTGGAGGGGTGTGTGCAGGGGTGTATTTACCACAAGGCAAACAAGGCATTTGCCTAGGGCCACATTTTTCATGGGCATTGCCCCTCGGAAGAAGGGACACACATGGCATGGAGACCTGGTGGGTTCCAAGAGAGGTTGCGGGTTACATGACGGTGAATGCACAGCTCAACTCTCATTCCTGGGGATGTCCGGAGCTGTGAAGTTGAGTGTCTCTCCTCTCTCGCCATGGGGGATAGTGGCTGGTGTATGGGGGGCAGTGGTAGTGGAAGGTTGTCTTGGGTGGGAGTCAGGGGTGTTGTTGGTCAATGTCAGGCTCTCTTGGTGGGGTCATAGCCTAGGGCAGCACAAAACCTAAATACACCACACTGGGTGTGTGTTCCTTTCCTCCAATCAGCTCTCAGTGCTCTCCTCACTGAGCTCTGCAGAGTGTAATTTAGGTTCTCCACCCCCTTTTTTCTGAACTCTTGGAAAAGCTATACAAATTCAGCCCTTTGAACAGATGGAGAAGAGAACTTATGTAGGAGGTTTTGTTTCATCTCTCTGTATCACCTGAAGTCAGTCATTTCATTGGGTACATGGATGGGTTTACAACCACTTTAACATAGAATTCAATATTAAAGTGTTACTAAACCCACAAAAGTACAATCAGTCTGTATATGCAGTAAAGCACGCTTGTTATACTCACTGTGGAACCTAAGGGGTTAATCCTCTGCATTGTGTAAATAGGCTGTTTGATCCTTTCTTTTCTGTTCCTCCCCTTTTTCAAGCAACCACCTCTTATCTCCAGGCTGAACTGTAGGCATGCACATGCTCATTTTAGTGTGTTGGATTAGAGAGGATTTTTTTTTCTTGGGAGAGTATGTGATCAGCACAGGGCCAATCAGCACTGTCCAGACACAGGTCAGGGGTCCTGCATCCTCCTAGAGCAGAAAGACTCCTCCTACAAGCTTTAGCTAGTACTGGGCTGGACACTGATAGAAGTCACAAGACTGCTCTAACTTCTGATGAGAAAAGGTATTTAGCAGTTTATATTTACTAAAATAATTGCATTTCCATGTTCTGTGTACTGTGGGAGAAAAGATATAGTGAATGCAAGGTCCGTGGAGACCAGATATATTGACTGCAGGGCCTGGGGAGAGCAGATATAGTGAATGCAGGGTCCGGGAGACGGATATAGTAAATGCAGGCTCCGGGGAGACGGATATAGTGAATGCAGGCTCCGGGAGACGGATATAGTGAATGCAGGGTCCTGGGAGACCAGATATAGTGAATGCAGGGTCCGGGGAGACCACATATATTGAATGTAGGGTCCAGGGAGAGCGGATATAGTGAATGCAGGGTCCGGGAGACTGGATATAGTGAATGCACGAACCGGGGGAGACCAGATATAGTGAATGCAGGGTGCAGGGAGACGGATATAGTGAATGCAGGGTCCGGGGAGACCAGATATAGTGAATGCAGGGTCCAGGGAGGGCGGATATAGTGAATGCAAGGTACGGGGAGACCAGATATAGTGAATGCAGGATCTGGGGAGAGCGGATATACTGAATGCAGGCTCCGGTGAGAGCGGATATAGTGAATGCAGGTCCGGGGAGACCAGATATAGTGAATGGCGGGTCCAGGGAGATGGATATAGTGAATGCAGTGCCCTGAGAGACCAGATATAGTGAATGCAGGGTCTGGGGAGACCGGATATAGTGAATGCAGGGTCCGGGGAGACCAGATATAGTGAATGCACGGTCCGGGGAGACCGGATATAGTGAATGCAGGGTCTGGGGAGACCGGATATAGTGAATGCTGGGTCTGGGGAGACCAGATATAGTGAATGCACGGTCCGGGGAGACCGGATATAGTGAATGCAGGGTCTGGGGAGACCGGATATAGTGAATGCTGGGTCTGGGGAGAGCAGATATAGTGAATGCAGGGTCCGTGGAGACCAGATATAGTGAATGCAGGGTCTGGGGAGAGCAGATATAGTGAATGCAGGGTCCGGGAGACTGGATATAGTGAATGCACGAACCGGGGGAGACCAGATATAGTGAATGCAGGGTGCAGGGAGACGGATATAGTGAATGCAGGGTCCGGGGAGACCAGATATAGTGAATGCAGGGTCCAGGGAGGGCGGATATAGTGAATGCAAGGTACGGGGAGACCAGATATAGTGAATGCAGGATCTGGGGAGAGCGGATATACTGAATGCAGGCTCCGGTGAGAGCGGATATAGTGAATGCAGGTCCGGGGAGACCAGATATAGTGAATGGTGGGTCCAGGGAGATGGATATAGTGAATGCAGTGCCCGGAGAGACCAGATATAGTGAATGCAGGGTCTGGGGAGACCGGATATAGTGAATGCAGGGTCCGGGAGACCAGATATAGTGAATGCACGGTCCGGGGAGACCGGATATAGTGAATGCAGGGTCTGGGGAGACCGGATATAGTGAATGCTGGGTCTGGGGAGACCAGATATAGTGAATGCACGGTCCGGGGAGACCGGATATAGTGAATGCAGGGTCTGGGGAGACCGGATATAGTGAATGCTGGGTCTGGGGAGAGCAGATATAGTGAATGCAGGGTCCGTGGAGACCAGATATAGTGAATGCAGGGTCTGGGGAGAGCAGATATAGTGAATGCAGGGTCCGGGTAGACTGGATATAGTGAATGCCGTGTCTGGGGAGACCGGATATAGTGAATGCAGGGTCTGGGGAGAGCAGATATAGTGAATGCATGGTCCGGGGAGACCGGATATAGTGAATGCCAGGTCTGTGGAGACCAGATATAGTGAATGCATGGTCCAGGGAGACCGGATATAGTGAATGCTGGGTCTGGGGAGAGCGGATATAGTGAATGCTGGGTCTGGGGAGACCGGATATAGTGAATGCAGGGTCTGAGGAGACCGGATATAGTGAATGCCAGGTCTGTGGAGACCGGATATAGTGAATGCAGGGTCCAGGGAGACCGGATATAGTGAATGCAGGGTCCAGGGAGACCGGATATAGTGAATGCTGGGTCTGGGGAGAGCGGATATAGTAAATGTAGGGTCCTGGGTTTAATAACACTTTAAGGAGAGACCTGCAGGCCAGCAAAGATCTGCTGCAGAACTCTGGAGTCTGTACCAGTGATCTCTCTCTCTCAGCTTCCCACAAATTATCTCAATTATTTATTCTCCACTGTGCTTATAGGACCCCTGGAAAATTACACCAATGGGGCACAAGGGACTCTCCGTACTGCCCAAAGTGCAATATACACAGGGATGACTTTATCCATATGATCTGGCATTGCCCAAAATTGACTAGATATTGGAAGGAGGTCCTACAAACTCTCTCCCTAGCATTGCAATATACCATACCTCAGGACCCTCTAATCTGCCTACTAGGCATTAGATCAGGAAGTATTCCAACCTGGAGAGTCTATCATGGCTTCTAGACTACTGTATCTAGCCAGGAAATTAATTGCTAGACAATGTCTGCCTCCTACCCCACCAACCAGCAAACAATGGGCAAAATATGTGAACTCATTATTGCTTGGAGAAAAACTTACATACCAACGCCAATTGTAAATTGGCACAGGGAGAACATGCAACCTCAAGGCAGGTGGTACCGTGGTTGGGATTTGAACCTACAATCCTAGTACTGCCAGATGGAAGTATTAACCATTTAGCCACTGTGCTGCTCAACCATACATAGCTCTGTGCATCCCTTTTACAGGTGCATAGGAGTGCCATTAATGCTTGCTAAGGTGCATGAGAAATCATACTCCAAAAGGCATGGCAAAAAAAATACCATGTATTTTGGGGCGGCATGCTTAAAAAAAAAAAAAAAAGAAAAGTTCCTTGTACTTATTTTGTGCGATTTTCGCACACAGGACAGCCAAATTAAATGAATCGGCTCCCCTAAATGTAAAGCACCAAAACCCACAGAAACCTTTGATTGTTCTATGGCCAGCTTAACACTCTTCTAGCAGCTGAAACATGTTAGTCCCTCATGAACCTCGTTGCTTGAGTCAGGTCAGGCATGGTTCTTCTTGCAGAGGACAATGATCCTTTGGTGTGAATGTATTCCAGGATGTGGCAGCATGTGACGAACGCTATCCACGATGGAAACCAAAACCAGGCCACGGATGAGAAATACATTCTAGAGGATGCGCAGAGAAAGGCGGCAAAAGAGCGAAAAGATAAAGACGAGGAATGGACGCCCCAGCTGTTCATGTATGATGACTCCCAGAAAGAATGGAGATATAAGCATGAAGAGTAAGTGCTTAGAGAAATGTACATGGCTGCAAAGCCTGCAAATATTTTCTTTATACCAAAGAATTGGCTAAGAAATATTTGAACTTTTCTGCAGAGTGGTCATATAGTCCTTGACTGGTTTTTAAAATATACAAAACCTAATTTCTTATGTTTTTTTGTATTATGATTAAAGCAAAGTTTGGTAAAAACTGTGCTTTACAATAATTTGTTGCCCCCTCCCCACTGAGTCCCATATGGAAGAAAAATATATTTGAAATACTACAAATTTTTGCTGTATTCAATATATTTTCAATAAAAAAAAAAATATATATATACTGTATGTTGAAATGCATTTTTATTACACAATATATGAAAACTATTTTCAAATATATTGTGTGTCTTTAAAAATACAAATCTACATTTTTGGAATGCATTTACAAATATATGTAAAAATATATGTTAAAATTACTTTTTTATGTTAAATTTTAAGAAATATATATTTTTAAAAATATCTTTCATATATTTTGTAACATATAAAAAACGCATTTCAACATGCTGATATATATATATATAAAATAATTTTTTTTTAAATATATTGAATATGGCCAAAATTATAGTATTTCAAATATTTGTCAATATATTTGGGAAGAACATTTTTAAAATATATTTCATATATTTTTTTCTTCCATGTGGGGTGCCTCTGATTTTCAATTGGAGGAATAGCAGCAGGTATACTTCCTACTTGGAGACACCCAACCATCCTAGATACACCAAACCTCCCACCCAACCATCCTAGATACACCAAACCTCCCACCCAACCAACCATCCTAGATACACCCAACCTCCCACCCAACCAGCCATCCTAGATACACCCAACCTCCCACCTAACCAGCCATCCTAGATACACCCAACCTCCCACCTAACCAACCATCCTAGATACACCCAACCTCCCACCCAACCAACCATCCTAGATACACCCAACCAACCATCCTAGATACACCCAACCAACCATCCTAGATACACCCAACCTCCCACTTAATCAACCATCCTAGATACACCCAACCTCCCACCCAACCAACCATCCTAGATACACCCAACCTCCCACCCAACCAACCATCCTAGATACACCCAACCTCCCACCTAACCAACCATCCTAGATACACCCAACCTCCCACCTAACCAACCATTCTAGATACACCAAACCTCCACTCAACCAACCATCCTAGATACACCCAACCTCCCACCCAAGCAACCATCCTAGATACACCCAACCTCCCACCCAACCAACCATCCTAGATACACCCAACCTCCCACTTAACCAACCATCCTAGATACACCCAACCTCCCACTTAACCAACCATCCTAGATACACCCAACCTCCCACCTAACCAACCATCCTAGATACACCAAACCTCCCACCCAACCAATCATCCTAGATACACCCAACCAACCATCCTAGATACACCCAACTTCCCACTTAATCAACCATCCTAGATACACCCAACCTCCCACCTAACCAACCATTCTAGATACACCAAACCTCCACTCAACCAACCATCCTAGATACACCCAACCTCCCACCCAAGCAACCATCCTAGATACACCCAACCTCCCACCCAACCAACCATCCTAGATGCACCCAACCTCCCACTTAACCAACCATCCTAGATACACCCAACCTCCCACTTAACCAACCATCCTAGATACACCCAACCTCCCACCCAACCAACCATACTAGATACACCCAACCTCCCACCCAACCAACCATCCTAGATACACCCAACCTCCCACCCAACCAACCATCCTAGATACACCCAACCTCCCACCCAACCAACCATCCTAGATACACCCAACCTCCCACCCAACCAACCATCCTAGATACACCCAACCTCCCACAACCAACCATCCTAGATACACCCAACCTCCCACCCAACCAACCATCCTAGATACACCCAACCTCCCACCCAACCAACCATCCTAGATACACCCAACCTCCCACCCAACCAACCATCCTAGATACACCAAACCTCCCACCCAACCAACCATCCTAGATACACCCAACCTCCCACCCAACCAACCATCCTATATACACCCAACCTCCCACCCAACCAACCATCCTATATACATCAAACCTCCCACACAACCATCCTAGATACACCTTCCGGTCTTCTTGGGGTGTCAGTCATTTGCTGCTGTGCCCTGTGTGGTGCACACATCTTCAACAGAGCCAGTTTCATCTTGATGAGAAAGGATTGGCTAAAGATCGTTTACTATGCATACAGAATCATGGGACTCTCTGCCACGATCAATATATAGTGTGCTGATTTTTCCACCTAAAGTGCAGCCATAAAGAACATGGCAGGGGTGCTTGGAATGGCCTCTGTGCAATGGGATCTGGACTGCAAACACATTTAAGGCTAGGTCCACACCTATGCAGTTTGCGTTTGATCGTTTTTTGCAGTGTGTTTTGCATTATTGCACATGCTCTTTGATGCGCTTTTGCTGCTTTTTTGATGCGTTTTGTGTTTTTTTTTTTCCATTATTGCTAGGCAGATTTAAAACGCATCAAAAAACATGGCAAAAACCAAAACCACAACTTTTTGAGTAAAACAAAATCCCTGACCCATCCCAAAAAACGTACTGGGTGAAAACGTGTAGATGTGAACGTGTCCCATAGGAAATCATGTTATGTGGACTGTACTGTTTTTTAGTTAGAAAACCTTGGATACATTTAAATAAAGGGGCAGAAAGCTACACAGCCATCGGGGACAAGTATTGCTGCAGAGTGGAGTTCTGCTTTAAATTTTTCAAATATCATCTTCCAGCAATATTGAGTATCCTCTCATTGGACATTGAATGTGTGATTGTCTTTAAATAAAACCTTCCTAGACCAATGGATCAGTAGAGATGGGTCAGTTGCTTGGCCATCTTTTGCCTGATCAACATTTATTTATTTTGGGTGCCAATTCATTAAAGTGTTACTAAACCCACAACAGTAAAATCAGTCTGTAGATGCAGTAAAGCATGCTTGTTATACTCACTGTGGAACCTAAGGGGTTAATCCTCCACATTGTGTCTAAAGAAAAAAATTCCTCCTACAAGCTTTAACCAGTGCTCTGCTGGACACTGATAGAAGTCACAAGACTGCTATATACTGCTGGTGAGAAAAGGTATTTAGCAGTTTATTATTTACTAAAATAATTGCATTTCCATGTTCTGTGTACTGTGGGGACCAGATATAGTGAATGCAGGGTCTGGGGAAAGCAGATATAGTGAATGCAGGGTCCAGGGGAGCGGCTATAATGAATGCGGGGTCCGAGGAGAGTGGCTATAGTAAATGCGGGATCCGGGGAGACCAGATATAGTAAATGCAGGGTCCGGGGAGACCAGATATAGTGAATGCAGGGTCTGGGGAGACCAGATATAGTGAAATCAGGGTCCGGGGAGACCGGATATAGTGAATATCGGGTTCGGGGAGACCGGATATAGTGAATGCAGGGTTCGGGGAGAGCGGATATAGTGAATGCAGGGTCCGGAGGAGCGGCTATAATGAATGCGGGGTCCGGGGAGAGCGGCTATAGTAAATGCGGGATCCGGGGAGACCAGATATAGTGAATGCAGCGTCCGGGGAGACCGGATACAGTGAATGCAGGGTCCGGGGAGACTAGGTATAGTGAATGCGGGGTCCGGGGGAGACCAGATATAGTATAGTGAATGCAGGGTCCGGGGAGACCGGATATAGTATAGTAAATGCGGGATCCGGGGAGACCAGATATAGTGAATGCAGGGTCCGGGGAGACCGGATATAGTGAATGCAGGGTCCGGGGAGACCAGATATAGGGAATGCAGGATCCGGGGAGACCGGATATAGGGAATGCAAGGTCCGGGGAGACCAGATATAGTGAATGCAGGGTCCAGGGAGTTCAGGGGTTTTTTTTTTACAGTTTTTTTTTTTTTTTTCTCTAAAATGTATCTCTCTCCTCCATTCATTGAGGAAAAAAAAAACAAGGGGTGAGGGGGGGGGGGGGCTGTATAGTGTCTGATCACTGTGATAGCCAATCAGAGGCTATCACATCGATCCTTTGACCCGGAATCGGGAGTCCCAGGTCCCAATCGTTAGAACGGGACTCGGGGCTCTCAGTGACACCCAGCGTTCTCCCAGCACAAAGACAGGTACGCAAATATGTGGCCCCTCAGAAAAAAGCCCAGTTCTGTGAGGCCGCATATTTGTGTGAAGGGGTTAACATAGAAGCCGTGTAAGTACCTTAATTTGGCCTGGTATCAGCGTCCTGTGGTCCCTGTACAGAGGAAGAAGCAGTACTATCAATTCACGTGCTGCAAGATGATACTGATTGGAAAGAGCAGAGTATCAAAGATAGGTACTCATCACTGGGCTGACCTGGATGACCTGGGCTCAGAGGAAGTGGGTTGGATGATGATGTTGGCCATTAGACTGAGATCTAGCAGCAGGAAAGAAGTAGTCCAGGGGACATCTCTGAATTGAAGCAGAAAATTGCGGCAAAGCTAGCTCTGTCATCTTGTCCTTTTAATGGGCTAGTTATGTCTTGTTATAGTTAGCTGGAGTTCTATTTTAATGATTTCATAAAGACTGCAGAGCTGTGATCATTTGTGTCTTTTATATCTGGATTTAAAGTTCAGCTTTAACAATTGACTAGAAAGAACCTAGAATTTTTACAAATCATTTCCTTATTTGTATACCTTTAGACTCCGTTCACAGTCACAGTTTGATTTTTGTCCATTTTGCAGTGCTTTTTTTGCACTGAGAAAAGGTATTTAGCAGTTTATATTGACTAAAATAATTGCATTTCCATGTTCTGTGTACTGTGGGAGACCAAAGAGAGTGAATGCAGGGTCCTGGGAGACCGGATATAGTGAATGCAGGGTCCTGGGAGACCGGATATAGTGAATGCAGGGTCCTGGGAGACCGGATATAGTGAATGCAGGGTCCGGGGAGACCAAAGAGAGTGAATGCAGGGTACAGGGAGACCAGATATAGGGAATGCA